TCAATATGTATCTTCGATAAACGACCATAACTAAAATTTTTCAAATGGAACAGCCTGTATATTATTCAACTTTCGAATTCAGTCAACTAATGTGAACAACTTTAATCAACTATGTTCTATACCTATCTCTGACCGTTTATGAGATATGAATTCTTCTATAATGTTTTTGCTTCTATTCGGTGAAAAATGTATTATTGAACATATGGAATAATGAATAATGACTTTACATTGGTTCAGAAAGAGTTAATAGAATACATGAATGAAACTTCATAGTGGGTGTATGGCAAACATTACTATTTCGACACAAGAACGAACGGTTTTCAAAATTAAATGATAACAAAAATAATTTCACACTAGAAAACAAGAAATAATATTGTGAAACTAGCTTCGCAATAATTTGACATTTGACACTGTTATGACAAAAATTCAGTGGCTCAGGTGCTTGAAATGCGGACCATTTACTTGTAAACATTGATGGATTGATGTTATTACGTGATCAGTCGTGGCTCTGCTGATTTCCGACGGCTTGATTTCCTCGAAGACACATCTAACCCGATTATTCAGTTCCTGTTTCGTATTGATAGGTGTTCTATATATCTTTTCTTTGATTTTCCTCCAGAGGTGAAAATCTAGGGGACTCCGATCCGATGATCGAAGCAGTCAAATCCAAGGACCCAAACGACGTATCCACCGATCTTCGAACATATCAGTTAGTTCCCTACTCCCTTCACGTGTGCAATGTCTAGGGGCTCCATTCAACTAATACCACCAATTCCGAGACAAGGTCATTGCCAAATTATGTCCAGAAAATCACTCACAGTCGATCTCAGAATATCTAAATATTTTTCGGAAGTCAACTTTATCATTCATAAGCATACAAAAAACATTAAAACTGAATTTTTGTTAGAATCCCTTTGCTCAGAAGTGATTACATCACAATTTTTTTCAAAAAGTTTGGATCTTCATATATCTGTGCCATTTTGCAAAATTCTACCCGTTTTCGTGGAGCATCCCAATGCAAAGCTTGCAGCCTAATTGATTTATAATCGTGCATATAATGTTTTTGCAAAATTCACCATATAGAAATTCGAAATATTCCTAAATCAACCGCAGCACTAGATACTGATGCATGAGGATGAGCATAAAAATATCCTAAAATGTTTATTTCATTTTCCATATCACCAGTCACCGGACTTTCTACTTCGATATGACAGTTCACGTTTGAGAAAGCTATTGTATAGTGAAACGCGTGTCGCGGTTTTGGTAAAACTCTTTATAGCGAAAATCATACAATAAACTGTATTAATTAGTTTTAAACAAGTTATTTTCAAATCCATATTTTTGTTTTTTAAATCAGACTTAGATGATGACACACCATTACCCTTCAAATTAACTTTTTTGATATTCCAGTAGATGATTGGAAATAAAAAAAGTTTCGCCATATGTATTGAATTTTTCAGACTGGTTTAATAATATTCAAAAGTATTTCTTGGAAAAACAATCTCAGTTTGTCACAATAATTTTCAATCTAAAAGAGTGAATTTTCGAAGCCCAAGACCTACGTCATTTTTGCAAGGCTGAAATTTCAAGAATGTGTGGATTTTAATTGAAAATTTTATGCTTGCACAGGAGCAATTTTTTCAAAATAGTTCATATCTCATAAACGGTCAGAGATAGGTATAGGACATTTTGATCAAAGTTGTTCACATTGGTTGGCTGAATTCAAAAATTTAATAATATACAGGGTGTTCCATTTGAAAAAATACTTATGGTCGTTTATCAAAGATACAAATTGAGACGAATTTTTCAGACACTCTGTATAAAAAAAGATTTGAATTTCGTTCCAAAATAACAACCACCATACCTTATCTCAAAGCTGCCAGAATTTGAGTTCGATGTATCAGTTGATTCATGCGGTATTAAATATTAAAAATTCCATGTTTTCGCCAAAAAAAATTACAAAATAATCAATATTTTAAAAACGGTGAGAGATAGGTACGGAATATGTTCAACAAAAGTAATTTGGATTTTGTTGCAGAATTCAAAAATGATATAATATATAGGGTGTTCCATTTGAAATTTTCAAGTTGATGTCTCTTACATGTAGATGTGACAACAATGCGGTGATGAAAATATTTTCAAATGATAGATCATAGCAACCTACATCGGTAACCAAAATTTTCAGCTCTCATCTTTTTTTGTTCTCTAAATACGTATAATAGACCATCGAATATGGAATACCCTGTATAATCAGAGATATTTTGTCTTTCATTTCTGAATGATAATGAAAATCTAGTTGAAGCTGGAATGATTCTGCAACGTTACATGGCTAAGTGGCGCGAGGAGTAATTAATATTCCATACCCAGGACACGATGCTAATGAGCAATGTAGTCGATTCTGCCGGCACCCAAAAAAAAACATTTAGGATTGATACCGAGGCATGATATATTATTCTGTAGCTCTTTGAACCATACCATTAGCAGCTTTGAAATTATCTCCCACATTTCCAGAAAGAAAATTGCTCTAGAACTAAGTTTCATCAGTATATAGGTGAGACATTTGATTTGAAAAAAGGTAACTTGCGAAACTTTGCATTAAGAAAGGTACCTAAGTTAGATAATCGAAAACTGCAGCTGACTGTTTTTTGTCAAAATTTCTATTTCTATTATCCATGATGCTATTGACAGTTAACCCCGAATAAGGCGTACCATCTGGAATACTAATAAATTCATTCGAATCTCCATACCTGTCAGCATTCCATATCCTCTCGCGAAATCCGTCGTTTCTGTGTACCACCATTATAACAAAACAGTTGAGTCTATTCGCACGAACCACGAAAGGACGCAATGCTTGCTAAGATTTCCGCAATTAAAAGTTAACTCAATCAACCAATCGCGCAGGGACGACCGGCTTGAATCATTAGGAACAAAAAGCGAACCGCCGCACAGCTGCACTCATCGAAAGAGACTGAGACGTCATTGAGGGTACCCAACATGGAGATCTCTACCTAGTACCACCAACACAAAAAACCCGCGCTCCGACACCATATATAAACGCATGGCTTTTTCAAAATGGAAATGGACCAGATACTTCTCCTTTCTCTCGTTCAAGAAACCCCACATTTTTGTCAACCCGCGTTTTGGGTCGATGAAATAACACAAGTTCTAATTTATTGTTTGCCTTTCGAAATATCTGGGATCGAAATATTAGAAATTGCAGTCAATACAAAAATCCAATAACCTAAGAGAAACACCAACAAAAAAATTGAGTG